ACATACATGCACATACACACACACACGCACACATACGCACATGTGCCACATACGCATATTGCTCCGTTTAGTCTTATTTCACAACGCCCCCTATCGTCAGAGCATGGTCAGATTTAGCAGCCTAACATGTTAGCCTATGGACGTTTTTTTAAAAAATCGTTAAAAATTCATTTTTGTTGAAACGAAAAGCACATCCTCCCCGACGTACGTTATCACTAGCTCTTTCATTCGAGCCCTCATGTCTCATTGACTTTTGAAAGTTCACCCACCGTAATTTTTCGAAATAGGTTGCAAGCTCGTCATTGCCTATAATACACATGTGAAACAAGTCTAACTTTGGACTCAGATTGCCAAGCGATTTGAAGATTATAGGTCGAGCACACGAAACATAAAAAGCATGAATTATCATAGATCACTTCTGCCCATGGGTGTCGATCCGTAACTGATACCTATTCATCAGGGGGGGATGATCTATTCATTCATCCCCCTGATGAATAGGTATTACGTCGACACCCATGCTTCTGCCTATTTCATTATGTCTATTTCATCCAACCCCCACCGTAATTTTTCAATTTAGTAAAAGCAAACATTTAGCCGAGGTAAGCAAAAACATGAATATTCATGACACACCATGGACTAGTCGGTTATTAACAAAGGGGTGCAATCGGTCATCACGTCAAACTCCCCTAATTGCCACCAAGTATTTCATATAATTATATAGTTTTGGTATGTTTCTTTTACTCACTCATGAACTATTAAATATCAATGATGGTTTAAAGAAATGTAAAATAAATTTTAGTTGATATTTATTAACAAAGTAATTTATATTTAGCAAAGCAATCTCACATACAAAATTACTATCAAGTGTCGTCTGCTACGCCGATTGTCGCCTGCTTCGTTAAAGGCACGTATTTATCGTTTGGACTGTAAGGTATACCAGAGAGATTTGTGTTTTCCTGCAGTACAACGTATTAAAGCAGGAAAATGTTGTATATGCGGATCCTTTTAATGATTACGTAATGGAAGTGGCGAGGCGGTATGGTTTGAATAACTTAGGCAGGTGAAAGTTATTGTATTGAGAAGGAAAGGAATGTTCAGAAAGGCATAGAGAGGGAAGTGGGCGTGGTAGCCATTCTAGCTTTGCACCTACATCAGTACGAGAATACACCCGACGGCGCGGTGGCCTGTACTTATAGCGCGCGAACACATCACACCCAATGGCATACACCCGGTACCCTGCAACACAGTGGAACATTCTAAGAAATTAAAAAATTATCTACAAAATGGACCTCTTGAATCATCTGAGAAGTAACTTACCCTATTCTGATTACTTCAATGAATGTCAAGATAACAATGGCTGCTTTTCCATCCAAAAATAAAACTAGTTTGCAATTAGAAATAGTCAATTTCTCGATAATTTCACAAAATACATTTGCCGCCGCATTCAATATGACGTCATTGACAGCTGATCGGCTAGTTTGGTAGTGTCGTCGAACGAGCTATGTTTGTGCTGCAGTGATCGAGCGAGCGAAAATGAGACAATCGGAGCAATATGCATACAGTATCAGTCCCCCACAATGTCTAGACCCGCGCCTTGCCACTACAGAAATCATTGAAATTCACCATCATGTAAAGTTATGCCTTTTCATTCAATCGCAATTCTGATAAAATATTTATGTCTTCGAATCAAACCATTTGTATGCAATAAAAAAAGATCTGCTTGGATTGCGAGCTCTTGCCTGATTCATGTAGGAATATATCATCTTTATAAAATCGTTTTCGTTAGAAACATACCTTTTTTTCAACTGAATGTTGAGTCCTATAGTAAAATTTATTATTAATTATTTTCTTGGAACACTGAACATGAAAAACGTGCACACAAAGGTCTTGTATGAGTTGACCATATATCTTTGTTACATTTACTCACAATAAATATAATTATAGAATATTTAAAAACAATCTTTGCCAAGAAATATATATTTTCAATTTAAATAAAACAAGATCGAATTGCTTTTTGTAAATGTTGTTGTGGAACTCATCGACTACCAAGAGTCTCAGGTAGATCTGAACAATATGAACGAAAAATGAGATCTTGTTTATTATGTAACATAAAATAAATTGGTGATGGGTTTTAATATTTATTTAATTTCTCCCTTCCTTGCTAAAGAAAGAAAATCAATCTTTAAAAAACTACACTGAACGGCCAAATACCCTTTAAATAAATTATCTCTTTCAACGATTAAACAAATCGCCCCGTCCTTATAAAAATCCGTAGGAAAATTAACATCGTTTTCAAATTATTTTTTAAAGACTATAGTCGAAGCATTTTTTTTAAAAACCCATTATAAGTAAAGTTTCTTGCAATATAACAGCAAATTATGTTCACGCCATTATTCACCTTGTTTTTAATATTTTTAATTTATTTGGTTGATTGATGCTGTTTTTTAAATAATTTATTTGTTTATTTATTCATTTTGTTCATGATTCATTCATTTCTTCAATTATTCATGAATTCTTTATTAATTCATTCATTCAATCCTTTTTTCTCTCTCTTAAACTACACAATCATTTAATAATAGACTGTTTGTCTATCTGCTTGTTTGACTTTGTTTCATTTTTTCTTTGTACATGTTCACTAATGATGTACTTCAAATTCTACGTAATTTATTTATTTATTTACAATAATATTTATTTGTACATGTACATATGTGATTGTATTCTCCAATACATTGATTATGGGTGACAGAAGAATAAATTTCATTGTCATTATCAATGTCACTCGAGAGATGATATCCTATTATTTATTTTGTTTACCCGCTTTGGAAATTCATGAACGAGTAACCTTCAAAGAGTTTAGTAACTACTATATATCCGGCTAAGATCTAGCCCAAAGTCCCTTATATAGGCATTTCGAAGTTTGATTATTAGTAGTCATTTGCATCGTCAAAGGTTGTACTGTGGTGTGATGTTAGTGACTTATTTCATAACTTACACTTTGCAAACCTTCATAGTGACAAATAAGTGTAAAAACGTAAAACATGATGCATCTTAAAAAACAAATAATTTGAACAATTTCTGACATAGAAAAAGAAATTGTATGTATGTTGATATTGCGACTAGAAACAGTGTCCTACCATTAACGATGAACTGAAGAAGAAAATTAATGTCATCTGGCGGTCATTTGTTCACAAAACTGAAAGAATTATGAGGTATAATTAAAATACGCCATGTGCATCGACTACCTTCTCCCATCCGATTCGCTATGATGATGATACAGATGAGGTAAGAAGCTACGAGCGAATTACAATAATTCCTTTACTATTATTTTTAAGAGAACGTAATTAATGAATGTCATCCACTGAAAAATCCTAAATAGATCCACTATCCACTTTCACTGACTGCAGTGAAAAACATAATTCGTTCTTACATGACATTCCTTTATATTTCATTCCACAAGTAAGTTTCCTCAAAATCTCCAAATAAATCTAATCAAACGAATCAGTGAAAATTGAAGGTAAACTCATCCGACTATCTTTAAATGTATTCACTGACCGTGAGCTAATCGCGGCGAAAAAGGCACAGCGTCTTAAGCTATGGTAACAACCCCATAAAGTAACCTGGTCGGCGGCCGGGCGGCGAGTTTTTAGCCAATTTTGCCCAGGCACCGAACGGCGGCCGCCCGAGCACCGCTTGTTTTTAAGGCATCGCCCGGTCGCCGCTGAAGTTTTAGCGCGGAGTTAAAATTCGGCGGCGCCTGCTTACTTTTCACTCGACGCCCGAAATACGCTTGGTGACCGTACGGTCGCTGCCTGGGTACCAACCTAATCGGCGCTGGCCGTCGAGCGATATAGGTCAAAAATCGAAGCCGCTAGGTCACCGAGCGTATTTTGGTGTCCCGCCGATCACCGGCCGGCCGCCGGGCAATTTCTTTAAAATCAGCCGGTGGTGATTCGGTGGGTAAACCAGTCCGTCACTTTCGGGACGCCGCACGGAGAAGCTTCCCAATTTTGCGCAGTTTTGACCTAAAATCGACCGGCGACCGACGAGAAATCGACAATGCACTGCCCAGGCATCGCTGGGGCTCTACAACCTACTCGACTTTTCAAAAAATCCCAGCGGCGACCGAACAGTTTACAAATTGGTCGGTCGCCGCTCTGAGATGTGACCATAGCTTTAAGGTCACTAAACTTGCGAGCGCACATATAGCCTTGATTTGTATTTTGTTTTAAACCTTCCAATTTACAGAAAAATTACCTTGGTTACCCTGCATAATTATCACTTTTTGTTTTTGGTTAATAAGTATCCGTCTTACTTGCCTCTACCTGCTTATGTAACAGATGGATATTTTAATATATCTGGATCCAATTAGGCAATGCTAATTCTCTGGATGTAATTCCCCTCAAAACTAAACACCACGATCATTCTTACAAGATGCCTGAGCTAATGACAATAATTCATTACATGATAATATTCAAGATGCGCTTCCCTTGGATAATTCAAATAAACAAAAATTCAACTTAGCATTTTCCTACACTATTATAACATCTTTTCACATAAAATGATAAATATATTGATACTTGTACTCCTTGCCTTGTATTTTGATTAATATTCATTTTTAGAATATCGGTCTGTAAGTAATAACTATTGTATTGTAATTTTTTGTTAGTATTTGTTTATTGTGAATATACAAACCTTCTGTTACTAGCGGATTGGTTTCACTATTCTAAATAGGCCACTACCGTCAATTTTTATGTCTCATATGACCATTATTATAAATCATTCCTCTACCAATTTTGTTGTGGTAAAAAGTGGTAATTCTTAGAAGATTTTAGTTAATTGTGAGTATATCACGAATGAAAAAGGCCTTACAGCAATCGATAAATGATTTAGGCCTATTCTAATACTTAACGATGTACCAAATAAGAAAAGACCCTGACAAACACTCTGTATTACCTGCATTCTTAACACTAGGTATTACCTGTAATCGGACTTTTTTGTAATCAGTTTGAGACACGCTCGAGCGGTCTGCGACGACGGCAAAGGATTCTCTTGAAAGCCTCTTGAAAGTTGGGATGCTTCAGACCATAGATGATCGGATTGACCACGCTGTTCGCCATCAAGATCATGTAGCCATATACGGTGGCCAGGCTTGCACCAGGAATTACGAAGTTCACGCTTGACCCTACAAAGCAAATCATGAAGAGGCAGACAACAATGAATACATTCTTTGTGATCTCGATCTCCTTTTGGTTGATGGCTTTGATCATGGGTGAACGAGAATCTTGGGATGTAGATGGAGATGCCATGTTCTTTTGTGCCTCTGCTGAGCTTGAACCGGTAGCTTTATCATCTGCAAACTTGTCTCGGAACTGCTTATTATGTTGCAAAACGTGGCGCAATATCAGTCCGTAAAACGTCAGGGTGAGTACAATGGCAGTAATGATGACCGTGCCCTGAAACAAGATATTAACGTAGGCCAGTGGATTTGAATCGGACAAAGTGCATAAGCCGTAGTATCTGTAATAACCGAAAGTCCCTACTCCTAGAGCAGGAGGTATGTTCATGAGTGCAAGTGACACCGTCCAGATGATCAGCACGACTTTCGCAATGTTCTTCGGAGTATTGAGACCTTGATGACCACGTATAGATCTGGTGATGACGTACCAGCGGACGAAACCGATAGCGACTAAAGTAGATGCGCTACAGCATACACTGGTGAACCCAACTCCAGCCACAATTGCACAGATGATCTCGGGAATTGGGTACCTTCCCGTTTGACTTAGGAGACCGGCAATCTGGAATGGTAAGAAGGAACACGCCAAATTGTCAGCGAAAGCGAGATTGACCACCAAGATGTTGGTGACCGTACGAAGCTTCTTCGTGGTGATGACGGAGAAGATAACAAGAGTATTGCCAAAGAGACCAATAATTGTAAAAACTGCCAGTACCGATGCAACGATAACTCGGTGATGGAAAGCTATAGTTGGCGCTTCTACAGGAGGTTGCGGACTTGTTTCCATCGTTGCCGAATTAAAATAAGACTTGTGGGAATTTTATGTTATCAATTCAATATGTCTATCTGTCTTGTAGGCAATTTTGGGCTTTAAAACTTCTTACTAGCTAGATGACTGATGGTGTTATTTTGTGAGTGTCCAAAAAATTGAAGCCGTCTTCCAGTGATAGATAACGCAGTTGATGTCATTCGGAGATTGATATGAATCGCAAGAATGTACTCGATCACTAGCTGATACAAAAAGTGGGAATTGCATCTGATCAAGTCAGCATTTATATTATCTGTATTATTTTTGCCACATTTATAATCATGACATTTTTTAAATTCGTTATGCGCGAAAAACTATTGGCCTATTGTAGATAATAGATTCTTAATGACATTCTACTTTTCAATTAAATCTAAATCAGTTGTTGCCAACTGTTTGGTTCTATGATTTTTCAAGGTTTACTGCCATGAATTAATGATATCACGGTAGGATGAATCTGCGACCGAAAAGATAAAGTGTGTCGGGATCATTAGATGGAAAGTTAGAGCTTCATTAAACTTCCACCAAGCCATTATCAAACAATATACACATACACAGTGGCGCAGAAACAAGAGAGGGGAAGTAAAGGAAAGGAAAAAAAGATGTTATGACCCCATCCTACTTCCTCTCGCCAATCAATTGCTTTTAAAATTTGCATCTCATCCACCGAGTATGACTGGTGTCGTCCCCCTGACACCACACACACACCACACACACACATGCACTCACGCCCCACAAAAATAATGTACCAGTGCCCCCACAATGTCTAGACCCGCGCTATGCCACTACAGAAACCAGTGAAATCAAGCATCATGTAAAGCTGTGCCATTATGATTACATCCGCAAGACATTTTCCTTTGTTCAATCGCGATTCAGATCAACATATTTTTGTCTTCGAATCAAACCATCGTGTTTTCAATATAAAAAGATCTATGTGGATTGAGAAATTTTGCCTGATTCAGGTAGGAATATATTATATTTCTAAAATCGTTTTTTCGTGCTTTCTCTTTTCAACTGAATTTTCAGCTCTATACTAAAAAAAAATCAAAGTCATTCTATTGACTCACTTAACATGAAAACGTGCGCACCGAGGGCTTTACAAACCTATAATATGAGTTGATTTTTTTTTGGCACACATACACAGAATGTATGAATTATAGAATATTTAAAATCATTGATCTGAACCACGTGAATGAAACATGAAACCTTATTCACTATGTGACATACAATCAATTGGTGATGAAAATTTATTCAATAAGTGCCTTCATTGCTAAAGAAGAAAATACGATCTTCAAAACAACTACACTAAACGAACAGATACCCTTAAAATGAATCAACTCTTTAAATGTACAAGGAAAGAAAAAAAACACCAGAAAACTGGTTTCAACCAATTGTAAAATTATGTAAGAATATTGTCCCTTTTCTTTAAAAACCCATTTTCCGCATTCGCAGTATTTTATTTTTAACAAATTACTAGTAAAGATTCTGTGCAGTATAACATTAATTAGACGCCATTATTCACCTTGTGTTAAATAGAACAGAATGAGTTGTATCATTAATTCAGATGAAAACCTTTATGATATATATATTTTATTTTTAGTTATTGGTTTATTCATTTTTGGAAATTTATTTATTGAGTCATCTATTCATCATGAATTCTTAATTAATTAATTTATTCAAATTTTTTTTCTTCTCAATTAACCAATCAGTTATTTATGGACTGTTTGCCTATTTCTTATTTGATCGCTCCTATTGTGACAAAGAAAAATCCATAAATTTCATTTAATTTGTCCTAAACTGTTCAACTAATAATCGATCGAAATAATCGAAAGTGTATGATTACGACTCCATGAAGCTTACCCAAGAAAATACACAAGTTAAAATCTTATTGAGGATACAAAACAATATATATAAATATACAATGTAATGAGGCATCGATTATGATAACATTCTGAAGGTTCCACAAGGAAGTTTCTTCGCCCCATTCATATTCTTCTTGATCAATAACGATGTATCTGAATGTCTTGTTCCACCATGCACATCATGATTTAGCGCAACGTGCATAATGTTACTTTTTAATAATTTCTCCCAATAAATGTAATCAACAAAGCAATGATTATTACAGCTAAACTCATCCGACTTTAAAACAAATATATATACTGACCATGAGCAAATTAAAATGGGGGAAAAAAGCACCGCGCCTTGTTAAAGGTTATTATATACCTCACTTAAGTAATCCAGCCATCTGATTGGTCGAAATTGCATTCATAAACTTCAACTGTTCCTGTAAAATTCCCGGTAACCATGCTTAAAACATTTAATATTTTTAATAACCATGGTTATTAAAAAAATAGGTCAGTCTCCATGGTTACCCCATAGGTTTACATGTTAAAAAATGGTTTGAGCGATGGAGGATACCGTATGTGTGCGAATAATTGGTCGGTAATTTCAATACAATTGAATCTCGATCGATCTTACCGACAATTTTATCTTGCATTGTTGACATGAAGACGAAAATAAACTTCCAAAAACAAAAAAACAACATCTGCCGATAGATCTTGATCTAAGTTCGTGCCAATATGCATTGCAAAAGTAAAAGAAGAGTCCGTATATGGAGCTTTTGCGAAGCATTCATTACACGCAAAGCCGATTTCAATCCATTTTAATGTATATATAGTACAAAACTGCCACGCATGTTAATAACGCGCGATGGCCGAGAGGTCTGAGGCGCTGACTTTAGATACATCACCTTTTGTACGCAAGAGTTCGAATCTCATCTTGGACCAAAAAAAAAAGTTTTTTTTATTTTTTATTTTTTAGTCTATTTTTTTTCGGCATATAAAAGTATTAATGACTGCTTTAATATTCGAGAAATAGTTGTTTTTATACGCTCTCGGGAAGGTTACAATTGGGCTATTCCCCTCGGCACGCCTCGGGTAATAGCACAATTCTAACCTTCCCCCTTGAGCGTATAAAAACAACTATTTCTCTCAAAGCAGTCATTAATACTATACTATACCTGTGAACCGGGCTGGCCAGAAAATACACACAAAACGGTCAAATGATTTTATGTAGACAGACTGTCTGGAATCTCCGCAAAATACGAAAAATTGAACAGCGTCGATTTTTTTTCTTCTCCTTATCTTTTCTGATTCCACTTAAAATTGTCAATACAACTTGAATTCGGCGTAAATATTCATAAGTGAATAACACACGCATTTAAGACTAAAACAACAACAACAACCACATATCCCTTTGATTTATAGTTTTGAAGAAAAAAAATCCTTCTAAGTAACAACAAAATAAATGATCTTGGTTACCCTGATCACCTTTTCTACATTAAAGATGTGCCTCTTGCAGCCAACATCAAATTATGTAGAGCTTTACAGGAATTATGAATAGTAATGTATGTCCTATCTTTGAAATTTAAGCATTTAATTTAGCAGTGTCCTAGTATTCAAATTATGTAACCAAACCAGTTTAACTTCTAGACTTCACTGTCAGACAATATTAAGTGACCGACCGACATCTTTTTTCTTTGGTAATAACATACTGTGGCGGAATAGGGGGAGGGGGCGGGGGTTAATAGATAATACAATAGAGGAAGGAAGAAGGAATATGGGAGGAAGAAGGGGGGGGGGGTAAAGAGGAAGAGGGGGTGGTGGTGTTATAATTCCCCAGTGAGAGAGAAAAAAAAAGGGGGGGGGGTGCTTGCATCGCTTTGCCACCAAAATCAAGTCAACATTCACAACACAGTAAGCTGCCACCATCTAGTCTTTATTAAGAGCGCTAGATTCTCTTCTCTTTACAACTTGATGTTGTAAATAGATAACTACCAGACCTGTTGGATCACAAAATAAACGATAATTAAATGACTTAATTATTCACAAATCACAGCCTTCTCATTGGCTCATTTCGCACCTCTTTAATTCAACACAACGCACTAATGGTCAACCTTTGACCTGAACCCTGGGCTCTCGTAAACATTCGCGCTAGATTCAACTCGTGCCACGAGCAGCCTGGCTCATCTCCACACTGTTCCACACTTCAAGTAGCTTGTATTTCTTCATTTAGGTGAGTTAAAGCATCATCATAAGATCTGAATAATTTAAAATGATTTAATCCTAATATTCGTATCAGACTTGTACAACTCGGATTCTCTAACGATCTGCACATCACACTGCAAACATGTGACAGGGCACACTGGGTGTCCTGTACACGCAGTTAAAACACACACATTATTCGCACTCGTATCTTGGGGCACTTTCTCTCACATCCTCTATCACATTCCTCCCATAGGGTAGCGAGCAATCTAAAGGCACAATGACGTGGATAAGTATCTGAATAAAATCAGACGATGATTTCGTTCTCGAAGTTGTCAATTGCGCTATCTAAAGAAGATGTAAAAATACCAATCACCATCCACACTTCACTACTGTAACTAATGTGTAACAGACATGTATTACTGTAAGAACGAATCTGTCGGCCTAAATTGTTCAAGTGAACAAATAACAAGTAACACTTTATTAATAGATTTCAACTAACAGTGAGGCTTTCGTGCCTAATTCATGTCGACGTTATTCACTTCAAGTATGTATGCAATGCAATTACTAAGTATAAGAGTTTAAATGTACATTATATACAGATATGTTGTCACTTTTGTCCGACAACAAATAATTTACCTAAATAATTACTAGCTTAAAGTATGGATAATGTATGCGTGTTATGTTAACAGTTATAGGGACAGGTTTAAGATGTAACAATAATAGATCACTAGCAACTGAATTCTACTCCAAAGTGTATCTTTTCTTTCCTACTAAAACATGAGAAGTATTTCTATTCTGGGCTAAACACAACATACCCTCCTCAACTTACGGTCAATCTAGGCTCACCAGCAGCCATCCAATAATCACTCCATTCCAAGTTCAAGTACAAATACTTAACTGCCTTTCTTCTTATTGCCTATAGCATAATCAACTTATAGTATTCGTAATCACCGCTCAACGGGAGTTTTACTCACCGGTCTATCCACCCCTAATCTCGACATGGCAGCTCACTCTGTCGGCATAACCATGCGATCTTTAATCCTTAGGTCTTTACAACAGGTTATAGCCTCGAATTTCCTATTCCTATACCTATTGCTAACTTCCAGAATTAACTAATCAGTTTTAAACGTACTTCAATCTTAAGACAACCGGTTTGTCTAGGGATTCGTTCCTTGCTCTCTGTAATTCAGTGCTTATTAATGGATCATTGTCAATAAGTGTTACTAAGATAAAATATACATGTAAGTTACAGCTCCATAAATACATAAGTTACTTATATTAATTTGTACATCATTAATTGTTGAATTGTGAATCTATTTACAAGTGATTAAATCTTATGCAAGTAATAGCGTCAGATCGTATTTACTTTGTTCATAAATATGACGAATATAATAGTACAACTATATAGAATACAAATATTAAATATACAAATGTTCAATATATATAAGTTACAACTGCTATACATGTAGATAGATATATTCTTAAACTACTAGGTACAGGTGACAGACTACGTTACTGAGGCTCTCAGCCTCCTCCTCCAGAAATTCATATTATTGGTAATGTATTAGGTCACACAGCAGATATGGTCTATAGTCTAGAGTAAAAATCGATAATAAAAGAGAAAATGTTCCAATGACCAATTCAATAATCAGTCCTCCATTGAATAATAAGCAGTAGCACTAATATTCAATATCTCACAAATAGATAAAAGTTTGTACATGTATAAACATTCTTAGAACTACTTGTCACAGAAACCAGATTGGAATTGGTTAGACCTTTAGGTATACCCGCAAAGGATCAGTTAGTCAAACTATCCAGCGACCTGAAGTACACCTAATTTCAGCGTAGCGTGTAAAATCTCTCAACCAAAAGTAATAAATAAAGGGAATATGTTCACCACTTCCAATGCTCATTTCTTAACAGTGACTGCGATATCTGAACTGACATCTCTGTAATGCAATATAATTGTAAAGACATTTTATCAAGTGTTGCATTATTCAATAAATAATTACTGGCACGGTAATATAAAATCCAAGAATTCATGTCCATTTTGTGTATTCTGTTTCAGTTCCAAGCATACATATTGATAACTATTATCTTATAAATGAATACAAATATAACAAGCATCCATATACACAGCAGTCATACTAATCATATGCACAATACCAATTTGGCTAGTTTTGGGCCATCCCATCAGTTTGGCTAGTTTTGGGCCATCCCATTTTGGCTAGATTTTGGCCAATCTGCTTCTGGCGTGTATTCGGCCTTAAAAACCATGAAAATACACATTTAACTCTAAAATAAAGATTAAAACATCAATTCTGGTACAAAGTCCAATAGATTGATCAACATTTGTTGTTGGTGCAATGCCAATCAGTTACTCTGCATATGAATAGCAATGGGCGGAAACGAAAGGAATAATTACCGTAAATCTCGGTTCAACAAGGTTCACAGACAGGTCAGGTTCACAGCTCATCTAATAACAAAGTGTACAGCCACATCAATCAAACTCGGCTGTCACGTATCAGCGCACTATCATGCGCGTACGCTTTAACCACGCGAATATTACATGTACGCACATGAATATTCATAAATCTTCGCAATAACTATTTCAAAGTAAGTGCGATTACATCAAATAATGTATACAAAGAGAAATATATTGATAAAAATAAAGTAAGAGCCTTATTCCGGGAGTACAGACATTCAGAATAATGGTAAGTCAGCCCGACAATATAACTCAGCAATTCAACAAGTGAAATAGACAAAAATATATGAAAAGAGTGAAAAATCAGTCCCACATATATATTTTGGTGTTTCAAGTCAGTTTTATAAAAATGAACAAGTTAGATTTTACGCTGACCGTCACACTACATTGAAGTAGCTGTAACAGGTTCACGACCATTTGCCTACATCAATAACCCACTACTTGTAATAGCCAACATTAAACTAATTGATTCTGTGTGCAGCACAAAACGTACCACCACCCGGTAAAAGGAGACTTTTACTTAAGTAATTGCAATCACTTAAGTCTATTCGACAACTGATGGTCGCTATTTTCCTGTACCTATACCCGCTAATCAAACAAATGGGTATTTTGATTGATCTGGATGATCCAATGAGGCAATGCTGATTCTCTGAATGTAATTCCCTCAATACTAAATACCGCATTCATTCTTACAAAACGCCTGAGCCAATGACTGGAATTCATTATGTGATAACATTTAAGATGTGCTATCCTTGGATAATTCAAATAAATATATGATTAATTAAATTGAATTGAATTGAAAATTTATTGTCCCTTTCGGGAAATTCTTTTTTCACTGGTTTACAGTCTTTGTACATATATACATAATACAAGAACAATACATAATACAATAATTATCAAATATACATCGTTACAAACGTAGTTACATTCTGAAAATAATTGTTGCAATGGAAACGGAACAAGACGAATACATGATTGCAGTATAACATAAACATGGCATTCCAGGTGAAAAATTCGAACATTAAGCTTGCTGTTTATTTGAGAATATAGGTGAGTTTAATATTATGAGCCCTAGCGAAAATTAAATTCAGAACAAGGTATAAGTTGAGAGGAGTATTTACGTTTGAGTTCCAGACCTCCGGGCTTGTGCATTGAAGTGGTGAATGGCGTTGGGAACAAAAGATTGCCTGAAACGGGTTTTCTGTGTGCGCGGTGCGCACAAACGTATGCCTGAAAGGTTAAATTTAAGAAACTAAAATTCGACAGGATATATTTTCTTATAAAATATTAAAAGATATTGATGTCTGTTCTCCTTGCTTTGTATTTTGATTAATATTCAGTTTAGAATTTCGGTCTGTAAGTACTAACTATTGTATATTAAATTTGTGTTAATGTTTTTTCTGTGAATATACAAACTTTCTGTTACTAGCATTCAGATCTTTGGTTCCATAATTCTAATAAATCTTTGTTGTACAATTCTTATGTTTTACAGGATCATATTTATGAATTATTACCGACCGATTTTGTTGTCCTATCAAAATACGTTTTAGTAAATATGTAGAAGAATAATTATAAATAAACAAATGTATGAATAAACGAAGGAGTGGATAAATAGGTTTTAAAAAAAATGATTAATCAAAGCTTCAACACAATAATGAGGTAAGCTCATGATTTATTACATAAAGGACTAATACACTTTGTTGGTAAAAATTGAAGGAATTAAAATAAAGGGGAAAATATCTTTCCATTTCCCCCAGATACCTATGGAGGTACAACTCCATCCTGTTAAATTTTGATCTAAATAGTCGTAAACATTAGAAAAAAAATGTTAATTGTGAGTATATAACATAATACTAAACGACGTACCAAAGAAGAAAAGACCGTGACAAACACTCTGTATTACCTATAATCTGAGTTCCTTGTAATCAATTTGAGACAAACTCCTGCGGTGCGCGACGACAGCAAAGGATTTTCTTGAAGGCTTCTTGAAAATTGGGATGCTTCAGGCCGTAGATGATCGGATTGACCACGCTGTTTGTCAGCATGATCATGTAGCCATAGAGGGTTGACACACTGCTGCCAGGTATGATGAAGTTCACGCTGGACGCCAAAAAGCAGACGATGAAAAGACAGACGACTGTGAAAACATTCTTAGTGATCTCGATCTCCTTTTGGTTGATGGCCTTGATCATCGGTAGAGGAGAATCAGATGTAGAAGCCTTGTTCTGATGCCCCTCTGTTGAGCTTACAGAGGTATCTTTGTCGACCGCAAACTTGCCACGGAATTGCTTATTGTGTCGCAAAACATGGCGCAGAATCAGACCGTAAAATATCAGTGTAAGCATCAGGATGGTGGCGATGAAAATGCCTTGAGATGCGACATAATACAGGGCCATTCTGGTATAACCAATGAAAGCACACATGCCGTAGAATGAGGAATAACCTAGCCTCCCGATTCCTAGAACTGGGGGTAAGACCATGAACGCAGCTGACTCCATCCAGATGAACACAGCCACTGTCGCGATTTTCTTCGGGGTATGGAAACCTTGATGGCCGCGGATAGATCTTGTAATGACGTACCTTCGGATGAATCCGATAACGACAAGGGTCGAAGCGCTACACACCAGGCAGGTGTGAAGCACAGCTGCAACAGTAGCGCAAACGCCCTCAGGGAGAGGATAGCTTCCCGTCTGACTTAAAAAACCTATGACCTGAAATGGCAAGCAGGCGCACGTCAAGAAATCAGCGATGGCGAGATTGACGACCAAGATGTTGGTGATCGTACGTAGCTTCTTCGTAATAAGGACGGAGATGATCACGAGAGTGTTGCCAAAGAGACCAATAATCGATGCTCCTATCAGGATGGATGCTACAATCACTCGATGATAGAACGCTATCGTAGCTATTTCTGTGGCGGCTCCTTCGGTTGCCTCCATCGTTAGGTAATGGAAATCAAGCTTATTTACGTTGTAAATGAAATTGTGCTCATCTGAATGAGACGAATTGCTCTTAAAACTTGATGAGAAAAGGCCCAAGATCGGATCGTTTATAAATATCTAAACGAGAATCGTTTTGCATTGAGAGAGCAACAAAGTTCATGTGTCACATGATCTCCAATACGAACAGCTTTAAGTAAGCCAATTGGCTAATTAGCGATGCGGACAGTTTTTCACGCGTAAGCGTTTTTCAGTTTCATCCCAGCTCTTAGATTCCTTTGAACTCTTTGAAGCTATTTTGTTTTGTTTTCGGAAGATTTAAAATGTTTGATAACCGTAGATTATGATTGGTTCCCTACTTTTCGCTAAACCACAGATCCACTACTTCCAACTTTCGTGTTTGAAATGACCTTTCGAGATTGATATTAACGAAGCAAATTGATCACGGTAGAGTGAACCAATTAGCGGTCTGAGTTTTTTGAGTGATGTAATCATGTAGAAAAAAAAATCGTTTCTTCCACCGATCCATTAGCACTAAACTCAACACTTAAGACGAGGCTGTATTTTTATTACAGAGGTTTACATGTTAAGAAAGAAAGCTGTGATATTGAGCATTCATCCGCAAGATATGTCCTTTAATTCAATCCTGATTCAGATGGCCGCTCAGTATTCAAATTTGCATTTTCTTTGCTTTTTTAAAATCTTTATATATCAATCTGAAATCCAACTACCACATAAGTCTGTGAATATTGATGTGCATCCCCTCTTTCTTTCCTCTTCTTTTTCTGTCTTCTCCCCCTTTTACCAATATTTTGTTCCTCCATATTTGTATTATTATGTATACTTTGAGGGTAGTCATACTATCAAGCTTTGCTTATTTTGTCAACCCTCCTGTTTGATGTTCTTGATTAGTTACACCCAGCCTTACTTTATTCTACATATATTCTTTTGTCATGTGTAAATTTGCAATATTTGTTTGTAATATATTTGTAAAAATGCAAAAGAAAAAAGAAAATCAAACAGAAATAAATAAATCAAATCAAATCAAATCAAATCAGATTTAAACACAAAGAATATGTATGGGTTGCACAATTTTCAAAGTCAGAGTAATTCATTTTTAACAATTTATTTCCTTCATCTTTTTCTTTTTCTCCCTTTCATTTTGTAATTTCCCATTCATCTTCATAATACAAATGCAAAAATTCTAAAGGTCTGGCAACTGCATATGCAAGTACATATATGCCACAAACATGCAATATTTCATTTGTTATTTTTAAGGTGATTGCATGCCTTTAGTTACAGAAATATCCCATTTTGGCCATAAGCTGACATTGAATAATCGGCTCATTGCGTCCGGTCGGATGGTCGCGTTACAAGACCTTTTATGAAACGGAAGCAGAAGATCACGCGACCTTTCGTAGATTTGCCTTAGTGTTTTCACAAAGTGTAGGTTGAATTGGACTAGACCATTTGTAGATCGGCGGGGTATCTTACAAACATTACCTCCGCCATTTCGTGAATATTTAATGAGACACGAAAGGTCGGGTAACGCGACCAACCAACCCCGGACGCGACGACCCGATGATTCGAGGTAAGTCGGGTCCAAATGAGGTATCTTGCGGTGTGAGAAGAATCAACAGAAGTGCGTTTGTCAGTGTTATAACTAGTATAATGTTTTTATTTTTACATGTATTTAAATAATTTTTAATTGAATCAAACAAACAGTAAATTTACACTAATATCGCCTGATCACATTCTTATAAAAGGAACAGTTTGATATTTTGTATATATAAGCAAGATAGCGAATATATATATTTTTTAAATGTTAATGATTATTGTAATAAAAATAAATCAAAACAAATAATGAAGAAAATTGTAAAAAAAATAATGATAGGAAGTCTTACATACATGTAAAGCATGATGATATAAACTAGATCAGTATTAATCGGGGAATTAACTGAATAACATTTGCTTAGGGATAACATTGGAAATTTATATTAAAAATCTACATTAAAAGTGGTAGTGAGAGAATTTTGTACAATCAAAGAAATATAACTTTCTCATAACTAATCTGATTTCCTTAAACATTCCTCTTTTCATCTGGTCTTTCCTGTTAGTGTTGAAATCAAGTTATTTGCGGATCGAGGTTGGCCTTTCAGAAAACAAAATGCGTTGTGCCTGTGGGATTCATCATCAATATCCTTTTTTTTTGTTTACATGACAAAATATTTCATACTGAAATATAAAACGTGAAAGGCACTTAAGTAAGAAAAGTCTTTTGCTTGAAGTGGCAATTTCTCACCTGGAAGCAGATACTCCTTTTGTTCGAAAATGATTACGACACAAATAAGGTCACTCAGCAGAGTTACTCCCTATATACCCAGATCAGATGGAGAAAAGAACGGTATCGACAGAGCCCAATCTCATCTCCCTGCTCATACCTTGATAGGTTGCTAAATGTATATTGACGTATACCATGACTGTGTGTCTATTATTGTCTGTACTAGTCTCTTCATTTAGTTCTCCCTCTCTGTCATCCTTCTTCCCCCTCTATCTTTATCTCTATCTCTCTCTCTCTCTCCCTTTCTCTTTTTCTTTTATACAACTCTTCTTTTGTCTCTTTATCTAATACAACTCTTCCTTTCTCCTCCCTCTCCCCCTCCACATTTCTCTCTCTCTTTCCTTTTCTCCCTTTCTCTTTTTCTCTTATACAACTCTTCTTTTGTCTCTTTATCTAATACAACTCTTCCCTTCTCCTCCCTCTCCCCCTCTACATTTCTCTCTCTCTCTTTCCTTTTCTCTCTTTCTCTCTTTCTCTATCCCTCTTTATCTCCCCTCTCACACACTCTCTCTCTCTCTCCCCCTTTCTCTCTTTCTCTTATACAACTATTCCTTTGCCCCTTCTCTTATACAACTCTTCCTTTCTCCTCCCTCTTTCCCCTATCTTTCCCCCTCTCCCCCCCCCCTCTCTCTCTCTCTCTCTCTCTCCTTTTCTCTCTCTCTTTCTCTCTCTCTTTCCCTCTTTCTCTTATACAACTCTTCTTTTCTCCTCCCTCTCTCTCCCCCCTCTCTCTCTCTCTCCCTCCCTTTCTCTCTTTCTCTTATACAACTCTTCCTTTCTCCTCCCTCTCTCCCCCTCTCTCTCTCTCTCTCTCTTTCTCTCTTTCTCTTATACAACTCTTCCCTTCTCCTCCCTCTCCCCCCTCTCTCTCTCTCTCTCTCTCTCTCCTTTTCTCTCTCTCTTTCTCTCTCTTTCCCTCTTTCTCTTATACAACTCTTCCTTTCTCCTCTCTCTCCTTTTCTCTCTCTCTCTTTCTCTCTCTCTTTCCCTCTTTCTCTTATACAACTCTTCTTTTCTCCTCCCTCTCTCCCCCTCTCTCTCTCCCTTTCTCTCTTTCTCTTATACAATTCTTCCTTCTCCTCCCTCTCTCCCCCCCTCTCTCTCTCTCTCCCCCCTTTCTCTCTTTATATTATTCAACTCTTCCTTTCTCCTCCCTCTCTCTTCTCTTTACCTTTCTCTTCTTCTCTCTCTTTCCTTCTTTCTCTCTTATTCTTCCGTTCTCCTCCCTCTCCTCCTCTTATTTTCTCAATCCCCCTTTCTCTCTTATACAACCTCTTATACAACCTCTTATACAACTTTTCCTTTTTTCTCCCTCCCCCTCTACTCTTTTCCTTACATTTCTATCTTGACACATATAACTATTTCCTTTTTTTTCTCAATGACTTTTACTTTTGCGTTTTCTACTTTCTTTTCCTACTAAAAGAAAATTAGCCAATTTTATTATATTATATGTAATGTTAATCATGGATCACATTTATATACCATGCCGTATCATGTATCATTTTTCCCCCTTGTATGTTGGTAGAGTAATGTTTTGTATTTAAATATGGATTTGGTTTTTATTTGTAAAACATTTGTACAATTAAGTCTAGGCTGCGACGGAGAAAGATTTAGAATCGATATACCATCAAATACAATCAATAACATGGGTATTGAGAAGACGATCATTTCCTTTCAAGTTTTATAGTGCATTACATAGGAAAGTAACTTTGCTCTGTTAGAAAATTCTTTTAATTTTCGGACTCGAATTATATCACTAATATATAAGCTGGTATAAACACACTCTTGGACGCAAAACTGCAATACCTCGTGTATTTTCCCTTTCTATTAACTGACTGATGAGTAGTAAACTTCTTTATGAAAACCCGATTCGTTTGTCCTAGGTCAAAGTCGCTCTACTGGAAGAGACGTTGCTCTTTTGAAACAAAGGAATTTTTAATGGTTGGAACAGGGTAACATATATAATCTGGTATGAACGCACCCTTAGAAATATATTCCTTTGCTCGTAATAATAGAAGCAATCATTTCACCTCGAAAAATTCATCTCTAGAGCTTTCCGATCTGCCTCTCTTCGTTTCCCCTCAATTATAATCTTTATGCTCATCTTGATTACTGAATTCAACAATAATGGAGCTCTCACCATTCATTGGGAAAAACAGAATATTCACTAAATATATTTTTTTTATTTTCATGACAAATTACAAATACCAGATACCCAATTAGATTCTTGACTATACACGATCTCCGAGGCAAATAGCAATTTGATGAATAGTCGCGGTATTTACTGGAAGCCAATAATGTGAAGGCCCTTCGTATTCTTCCTTCTAATTGTTATATGTCTGTTTTTAAAGTAAAGAAAACCTACGAATGAGAAATCAAAGAAAAAAAACTTTGTAAAGGAAAACATTATGCAGTTCAAGCCCCTCCTCCTCTTTTTTGTTATAAAGGCCAATAGAAAATGCCATTAAAGCCATTTCAATATCGTTAATTCAGGTTGTCTATATATTGTTGCTTCTACCGCTCAAATGTTGGGAAATGTCAATGTCGTTTTCACTGAAACATCTTTGCAAAGGTATTATGTTATTTTGTTTCCATATAATCAACCGGAGAAGAATTAACTCTTTATTTGATTAAAAAAAGAATTCTCAAGGTAGAATGT